AGTATGAACATACTACATGTTTCGACAGAACATTGGTATGTCTACTTCAGGTATGAACATACTACATGTTTCGACAGAACATTGGTATGTCTACTTCAGGTATGAACATACTACATGTTTCGACAGAACATTGGTCTGTCTTCTTCAGCTATCAACATACTACATGTTTCGACAGAGCATTGGTCTTTCTTCTTCAGGTATGAACATACTACATGTTTCGACAGAACATTGGTATGTCTACTTCAGGTATGAACATACTACATGTTTCGACAGAACATTGGTCTGTCTTCTTCAGCTATCAACATACTACATGTTTCGACAGAACGTTGGTCTGTCTTCTTCAGGTATGAACATACTGCATGTTTCGACAGAACATTAGTCTGTCTTCTTCAGGTATGAACATACTACATGTTTCGACAGAACATTGAACTGTCTTCTTCAGGTGTGAACATACTACATGTTTCGACAGAACATTAGTCTGTCTTCTTCAGGTATGAACATACTACATGTTTCGACAGAACATTGGTCTGTCTTCTTCAGCTATCAACATACTATATGTTTCGACAGAACATTGGTCTGTCTTCTTCAAGTATGAACATACTACATGTTTCGACAGAACATTAGTCTGTCTTCTTCAGGTATGAACATACTATACGTTTCGACAGAACATTGGTCTGTCTTCTTCAGGTGTGAATATGCTACATGTTTCAACAGAACATTGGTCTGTCTTCTTCAGCTGTGAACATACTACATGTTTCAACATAACGTTGGTCTGTCTTCTGTCAAAACATGTAGAACGTTCTTTTTAAAAATAAACCACTTCGTTTTGCTAATGAATCGTTGTTTGCCAATTTATTATCATATTAGATGTGCTCAAGTTTCTCACTCTCACATAATTTGAAAAGTATAGAAACAAACATCAGTTGACTATTTTAGTTTCTAGAAAATACGTCATGATCGCTGAAAAAATAATTGTATTATATAACTTATGTTTCATTTTGAGGACTGGAAGGACTTAAAAGAAGCCATACCAAGAACGTTAAAATATATAAATAACAGACTACGCCTGTAACGGATTATTCGATTCGTGAAGCTGCAACAATGTAGTTATGTATAATAAATTTACTTCTGAATGGTCATGTATATTACTTGACATTTCTCACATCAATGTACGGTCTTCAGAGTAATTAAAACAGTACGCCTACGTAGTATTGCATGAACAAAAGTATATAACCAGATCTGCCTATAGAAATACAGGCTTTGACAAAAAAGGCGTATAATTTGATTTCTTTTTGTATTCTCAGGTGAACTGATTTCCTTTCATGGTAATCAGGTTGAATTCTCAGGTGAACTGATTTCCCTTCATGGTAATCAGGTTGAATTCTCAGGTGAACTGATTTCCCTTCATAGCAATCAGGTTGAATTCTCAGGTGAACTAATTTCCCTTCATAGTAATCAGGTTGAATTCTCAGGTGAACTGATTTCCCTTCATAGTAATCAGGTTGAATTCTCGGGTGAACTGATTTCCCTTCATAGTAATCAGGTTGAATTCTCAGGTGAACTGATTTCCCTTCATGGTAATCAGGTTGAATTCTCAGGTGAACTGATTTCCCTCATGGTAATCAGGTTGAATTCTCAGGTGAACTGATTTCCCTTCATAGTAATCAGGTTGTATTCTCAGATGAACTGATTTCCCTTCATAATAATCAGGTTGTATTCTCAGGTGAACTGATTTCCCTTCATGGTAATCAGGTTGAATTCGCCAGAATAACAGTAGGATCGAAATACAATGTTTTGTGGGGTTAAATCTATATTCCTCAATCTTGACCAAGTTGTGGAAAAGAAAGACATTGGACACAACTCACTAACAACTCTTCTGTACCTGCTGTGCAGTCAGGCAAAACTGGTAGCTTTATCTATCTTGCTTCATAGCAAGGTATGGGTAGTTCATTCTAAAGTGACCCTCTTTCATGTTCCCCATATTTAAAGCAGATGCTTTAGCCCTTTATTCCAAAGCAAAATCTGAGCAGGCTCATCATCGGCAGTGATTGTGGCACAAACATCATGAGAAAGTAAAATAAGCCCTGCCTACTCATTGGGAGCTAGTGTGGTTATACTGTTTCTCTGGGATGTACTAGTTGCTTGGTTGCTTTTGACCAAACCCAATCTAAGTGTGATGCATTCATTTATAGCAGCTGGACTTTCTAAAGTACAGCCATTGCAGATGGAACAGCAGCTTTATTAATTTCCTGTAAATTATTCAAAATTCCAAGTTCAGGTCTTTTCACAACAAAACTGCTTCAGTTAGGGTGAGAAGGCCTCTCTCAACTAAGTGGTTGCTTCTTCATTTACCTGTCTATGATGATATCACAGTGATATATTAAAACCACTGAAAGGCATGTCTTCCTATACTAATGGTGCAGATCATCTGAATAAACGATGATACTCTTGCTGCAATCATACTTTCAAGATAATTGACAGCTGAGTTCTTGATAGAGTCAAACCTTCCAAACCCAAGACCAAGTGCTGTACTTG